TGCTTTATGCTAGCCAGGCTCTTCATGCTCAAGAGAGCTTGAATCTTGTCTGGGTTGGCTTTGACACCTTGTTGATTCACAAGGAAACCTAGAAACTTCCCCTAGCTTACTTCAAAAGCACACTTCAAAGGATTGAGTCTCATTCGGTATTTTCTGAGGGTGTTGAACATTTCCCCTAGGTGCTCAATATGGCTCTGGGTGACCTTGATTTGATGAGCGTGTCGTCAATGTATACCTCCATTGTTTTGCCAATTTGCTCGGCGAACATTTGTTCACCAAACGCTGATAGGTCACTTCAGCGTTCTTCAGGTCAAATGGCATTACCTTGTAACAATACATACACTGGTTAGTAATAAAGGAGGTGTGTTCTTCATCAGGCTATACATCAGAAATTGGTTGTATCTCGAGTATGCATCCATAAAGCTTAGTAGTGTGTTCTCGGCCATCGCATCTACTAGTTGATCGATCTGAGGTAGCGAAAAGTTATCTTTAGGACAAGCATTGTTCAGATCAATGAAGTCGACGCAAGTCTGCCACTTATCATTCAACTTCTTCACCAAGACTAGGTTGGTGAGCCAGTTTGGGTACTTCACTTCCCTGATAAAGTTGATGTTTAGAAGCTTATCAACTTCATCCTTAAGCACTCTAGATGGCTTAACATCTATAGATCTTCTCTTCTGTCTAATTGGTCAAGCCCTTGAGTCTACATTTAATCTATAGCACATTATCTCAAGGCTGATCCCCACCATGTCCACATGAACCTAATCGAACACGTCCAGGTTTTTCTTCAGGAACCCTACAAGATTGTTTGTCAACTCATCGCTCAAACTGCAGCCAATTTTCAGCACGCGAATTGGGTCTTCCTCGCTGATAAGTACCTCTTGCAGCTCTTCTATTGGCCCTGTTGCGTACTCTTTTTTATGGAGGTGATGATCTATAGTATCTTCCAAAGGTCTGGGCTTAGGCTTGGACTCGGACTCAGACTCAACAATGACCATGGTACTTGGGAAGGGCCATTTTTTTGCAGCGTGAATGGCCCGATTGTAACATTCCCGAGAATCTTTCTTGTAACTCTTAATTGTTGCAACCCTGCCTAGAGTTAGGAATCTCATTGCTTGGCAGTGCATCAAAGTGATTGCGCTTAGGTCGTCTAGGATCGGTCGCCCTACAATGACATTATAAGTGGTTGGGCAGACGACCACTAAGAACTCCACCATTATCGTCCTGATCTTAGGCTCTACCCAAGAGTCATGGGCAAGTCGATTGTTCCCTTTGAGACTAATCTATCCCCAGTGAATCCATAGAGTGGCGATAGACACACCTTCAAGTCTCGTTTTGTGAACCTCATTTCTCGAAAAGCTCCCAAGAAAATGATGTTCACTGTACTGCCATTTTTAACCATTACCGTGAGTACTTGGGCATTGCTGATTCTTGCTGCAATTACAATCACATCATGGTTGTGGCGAGGAGATTCTTCACACTCTTCCTTGGTGAATCCTATCACCTCACTTTCTTGTTTAGGCCACTTTGGCAACTGTTGCTCGCAGCTCATTACCCGGGGAACTAAGTATGTCCTGGCTTCTCGTGCGTATTGCTCGCGAGAATGCATGGAGCTCCCTGTAATGTCAAGTCCCTCGTAGATCATGCCTACCAGTACCTCATTATTTGTTGGAGCTTGTTAGACCTAATTATTCTACTTGCCTAGATTTTTGCAAGCTCATGCCTCCTTAACAAATTCTTTTAAGTGGCCTTTTCTGATCAAAGCCTCTATAACTTCCTTTAGAGCTCGACACACACTCATTGGTGTTGTGCCCAATGTCCCGGTGGTACTAGCAGTATTTTTGGCGATCTCTTCTCCTTGGTGCCCTCCTTATCCTTTCTAGCACGGGCAGTTTCTTAGCCTCCCAAGATACCTCATAAATGTGAGCTACATCTTGAATTAAGGGAGTGTATTCTACATACCGTGGGAAACGTTGCCTGTCCCCATGATTCTCTATTCTCTATCTCTTTTGGAACCTATTTTGATTTCTATCATTGCGATCTTGGCCCTTCTGTTTATCTGTTGGGCACTCTTGTCGCCTATCGAGGGCTCTTCTTGGTGAGCTTCTTGCAAAGGTTACTAGTGAGCTTTCCACCCACTGATGTTTGGCGACCATGTGATAAAACTTGGCCAGGCTCACATGGTTCTCGCTTTGGAGCTCTTTCCGACCTTATTCCTATTATCAGCAAAGTCTAAATCGACTATTTAGGTGCATTTGTGACCTTTGTCTATTCATTCTAGAACCTCGTTAAATGTGAGGTTAGTGTTTTGTCACTTTCATCACGAATATTGCTTTGATAGTTGAGCGACATTGCGAGCTGTCTCCTCGCTTGGAATTGCTATAGGTACAACAAGGAGAATTGTTGCCAAGACTGAATTGAGTTCGCCTTGAGCCTCTTGTACCACCTTTTGGCATCCCCTACTAATGTGACTACAAAACAACGACACTTTGCCAAGTCACATACTTGATGTAGCTCCATCAAGTCGTTAAAAGAGTTAAGGTTGTCTCTAGGATCCTTTCCCGTCAAACTTACTTTCTAATGCCCTGCATCCTTAGGGGAGCGAGGCCTAACGAACTTCCTCTGTGAATGGAGAACTCACTATTTCTTTCGTCATATTGTTTTGGTGGGCTCTTAGATCGTCAAGCATTTTTTTGCACCCGATCTAAATCTTTATTATGGGGAGTACTCTGGCTACGGGCTCTATTCAGCCTTACCTTGTGTAGGTAAGCTTGGAGATTTGTTGCTTGTGACCCTCCTCCGTTATACACATTGATATGTGAGGTTGAGTCATGATGGATAGGTTGGTAGGTGTTATCATACTCATCAATGCACTGCTCACGATGTTGGTTAAAACTAGAACATCGGTCATTGCTAGATTGGCATGCGTGACTCATCTTGCGAGCTTGCGAGGTTTGAGCCCGCCTTTGGCATGGGTTAAAAACCAGCACATTGACGTTGGGGATATCGTCGAGCAGGTCGAGTATCCCTTGGGTGACCATTGCCTTAATTCTCCCCATGGGCTGTTTGCCTGGTCACCTTCTAAGGTTAGTTTGCCTGCCGGACTCACGTTCATGAGTGAAATGTATCATGTGGTGTCAAGGGTGTCGGTCACTCCTTGGTGCCGACGAACCAGATTGGTTGTCAGCTGAGTTCCGACGTGTCGGGGTAACATTCGTGAAGCATGGTTGGTCAAGGTCCTAGGGAGCTAGTTGCTAATTTTTTAACTTAGCCACATTCTGTTGCACTACCTGTGCAACCATTGTTCTGATCATCTCCACCAATTGTCCATTCTCGGGACTCGACATCCCTACCCCCTATTGATTCGCGATTTGTTGCATTGGTGGCACTGGTGGTCGACCGAAAGGAACGGTCTAATGCACCTCCTAATTGGTGGTTTCCGTGTTGTCGTGGTTTCCAGTGTTGGTCTTTGATCTGGTATGGGCCATTAGAATTTTTAGGTGATTGGGTCACTAAAATAGATTGCCAGAAATTTTGAAATTTGGCAGAGGCCCTCCTTCTAGCGCCAAAATGTTGATACGAGATTCGCACCAACTAGAGTGATCTGATTGACTTTGGCGGAATCAGAACAGATGTGTGCATGATTAAAGATAACCAGCAAAGTATGAAATAAAAGCAGTAAAGTAAATGACAAAATGGTTTTTAAAGTGGTTCGGCAAGTTATGATCTTGAGCCTACGTCCACTATTTTTCTTATTTGCTGTGAGAGCTTACAAAAAAATAATAGAATTCCTAAAACAATTTGCTAACCCCTTTTCCATCATTGGAAGGGGTTTATATACAAGATTTGTACAAAGGAAAGAACGGAATTAAAGGAATTATAATCAAGATTGGAATGCAACTCCAATATTCTCGTGATTGAGCGCTAAGATTGCACCATAGTTGTTGTAGATCTAATCTCTTCCGAAATATCCAGGATCTGAGTTTATTTGTGATTTGCTTGAACAACTGTCGAGATTTGTCACAACTAGCTTGTGCTGGGTCTAGTTATATCTCGACGAGCTTATGTTGGGTCAGACAATCATTTGAGTTGGACTGGTTCTAGGTCAGGTTATAACCTCATGGAACTCTGACTTCTACGAGCTTGATGGAAAAATCACACACAACAATATGTAACATTAAAATTGTAGGTTTAATTGTTGACTCTGAATTTATCTAGAACAAAATTATGTAGAGTAAACATATGTCGTTATTTATAATTAAATTAATATTTTCACCTTACGAAATAATATCTGGTTATATAATTTTTCACATTTCATATCTCCTTTATTTATAATTAAATTAATTAACAAATCAATGGATACATAGTCGGTTGAGCACAAAATACAAAATTTGAACTAAAAGTACGCATTAAAATTTATGGGCTGGGTGACCCACAACCTATAGAAATCCAATTAATTAACATGAAATTTATCTTAAAATTTTCAAATTAATTTTGTTTAATGAGTGGTAGATATAAATTAATAAGTAAAAGTCTAAAAGACATTTAAATTTCATATTTTAATTATTTGTGTGAAATTACAATATAAGTACTGTACATATAAATATATAACAGGTTGAGCTTAAAATACAAACATTAGATAGAAATGCAAGACTTGAGCCGTGGTTTTACAGAGATTTTGTGTTAAAGTAACTACAGTGGTTACCTATTATATTTGTAATTTACCTGATTCATTGATGTTATCGAATGTCTAGTAAGTCCCAAGGTATAAACCCCATAATAAGAAATACAAAAATTAGATGCAAATATAATAAAAACATAGAATTGAAGCAATTACTCAAATTTTGTAAAGCAATATCGTGAATATTGTCTTAACTTGCTTCCATCATTCTCTGCCCAAGAGCCAACTGGAAGTTGAGAGTTGATTAATTGTTTCTAACCAGTTTTTTATTCAGAATTTTGAAACATTCCATTAAAAAAGGAACTGATGAATCAAGAACTTATATTCGATCATTGGAACAATCGGCTTCGTAAAATTGGATAGCACCAAGGGCGGCACTGTAAATGATACGCACGTTTTGCTGATGCATTATTCCTAGAATAGACTGCCCCTCTCCTGGAATGATTGCTACACAGAAATATCCTTCTGCATCGAAAGCAATGTTCACATATTTTGCATCGACGATGTAGTCTCCTCCAGGTAAATTGAAGCTCAGTGATGGAAACTGTCTGAAACCTGCTCGGTTCCTATAACAAAGTTGAAGGCCATAAGGCGTGACCCCTGTCATTCTCTCTAAATGAAAAGAGTCATAGTGATTCTGCAATGCATTCATCACCACTTGATAAACATTGATTCCATTTCCAGTATTTGTGGCAAGGTTAGTGAGTGGCGCTCCCGAGTCTATGAAGAAACCACCGTTAATAAACTCAAAGGTTTCTGGTGGAAATCCCAAGCGTTGAAATCCAATACTTATATCTCTCAAATGCAAGTAATAATAATAAGTACCAGGCACAGTATAATAGGGAGTTGTTACAACATTTCCTGAAGGTAGAGGAATGTTATCCCCAAACCCCAAGATAGCAGGACTGGTCAGTCCTTGAGAAAAGGGAACAATGCAATAAGAGAAAACGCTGTCAACAATGGGGGACAATTGACCGAATAGTGAATCTGGAGATAAGTTTAATCCCAAGATCCCGGAAATGACACCATTGAAATGCTCGAAATTTCGGTTATCGTACGAGCAGCCGAACATCAAATCACCTATGGTTACGATTTGATGACCAGCTTTGTCATCCGGAAAGAAGAACGATTCCAGGGCCGCGACACCGTTTGTAGGTCCTGCTCCACCATAGTGAACACTGTAGATACATACTCCATTAACACATTGAAAAATGCTGCGTTCACCTTGACATAAAGGGTGATCACAGGGAAGAGTTTTGAAAGAAGAAGAAGCTTGGGAATCGTAAATGGGATATAGTTGTGGGAAACAATTTATGCAAGGCGCACACTGAGTCCAAATTAGACCACCGCCAGTGTCTATCATTAGAAGCACATCTTTTGGTGGTGTTCCAATTGTAATCTTCCCAATATAGTAATAAGAATCAATAGCTAGAGGGATGATAAAGTTTGGATCATATTTTGTTGCATTTAGAGTGGATAACAGTGTCACTAGTTTGGCTTTAGCTTTGGAGAATTGAACCAATCTCTCAATTCTTTCGAATTGAGTGAGGTTTCCAGGGTATAATGGAGACTCCGGAGAGTCCCTAGGGATGAGCTTCAGGCTGAATCCAAGAGGTTTTGAAGTTGTGAAATGGAGTTGGGAAATTATCATGGAGTAAAGAAATAGTACTAGTGTAGCTGCCGGGAAAGGTCTCATCGTAAAAATTTTAATGAGTAAGAAGAATGAGCCTTCTTTGACAGGATGAATTGGAAGCTACAAAATATTATAGTTCCAATCATCTCATTTTTTAGCCTCCTGACATAAGTTTTCTTCTAACCGATAACAAGGTTCAGGAAATAAATATCTCTGCACCCATTCACCGAACTGGGTTAATTTTTAGATATATTCTAATGAATCTTGTTTGCTTTGCGCCTATGTTAATTAAGTTTATGCCTCTAATAGAAGAATGCTACTAATTATACTTTGGAAATTATAAATTCACAATTAATTACTTACCCCAGCTGGATTAAAAACAAACAATATTTTGCCCTGTAAATAGCAATATAACAGCTTCATAAATACTTGGCATATAATTGACTGATGTTTCTTACCTACGTGTCTTATAAACAACTCAGATCCAACTGAATGCATATTATCTGTTTTACTTTCAAATTTCATGTACCAAGTTGGGTTTAATTAATTTGTAGCATTTAACCCTATTTGTTATATCTTAACTTTTACGAAACATTCCCACGACAATAAGGCAAACACCAATTCAAATATTCTAACATAAGAAAGGTAGTGAGCACGGCTACAAGAAACTGAACTCTTCCGAAGATGCTGCTATTGACATTGTGGTTGGGTCGGGCATCAGAATATACTGTCTACAACAACAAAAATATCAGTCGCAGTCTAAAAACAATATTCTGAAGATAATTTCGCCAATAAGCAATCGTATAACAACTTGTTGACATTTCCATATTAAGAAGATTTGGGAGATTTGATATGGTTCGATTATGGGATGATTAGCTAGATTCATATAGTTGCCTTCCACGTCTTGATTTGTATTCATTTCACTTTATTTATTGCCTTATATGTTGCATTTACACTTGTATAAATTGAACCATATTGTACATGAAATTGAACCATATTGTACATGAAAGTATTCTTCTCTCTATTATTTTGCTGTTATTCTCTCGGCATACTTAGCAACTAACTTGCTTCTCCTTGCCTCTCCAGCCCTCTTCTTGTCATACTTTGGTAGTCCAACTACCTCTCTTGCCACTGCCATTCCAAATTCTTACATGGTATCAAAGTAGGCCTCCTAGCCAAATCCTCTCCTTGCCACTCAATCTCACTAATTCAACTCCTATCCTCTGTTATTGGTTTCCCTACAAAACAAACTCTAGGATTAGTTCATCAGAAACAAAAACCAAATGGATTAAAAATCAAAACCAGCAAAACCTATCAACCCCAATTAGGCCTAACACACCAAACATGAGCTCAGATTCAACAAACAGCCAACAAACCCACACACATAAATCAACCCCAATAGCCAAATCGGCTTGAACATACATACTAGTCAAACAGGCCCAAACATACAAATCCACCAAAATAGCCAAACAGGCCCAAACATGCAAACCAAACCAAATAGTCAAACTGACCCAAATAGTCAAATCGGGCCCAACCGAAACACATATCTATTCAGGTTTTCGGGTCAAACTAGCCCAAACCCGTTTCCCTTCCAATTCTAGATCGTGCAACCCCATCAATGCCAACCAGAGCTTGGCAACCCCCTCTACTTCTCACCCTCTTATGGACCAAAACCCGTTCTGGTTAAACAAGTTCTCACTAGCACCGAGAACCACGTGACTTAGGCTCACGACTTCCAGCGAGCACTTATCACTAAGGATAAAGACGACTATATCAATGACACCATAACACCGCCAGCTAAGCCTCATCTCCACAAACATTGGACCAAATGCAACATGTTGGTCCATTCATAGATCAGCAACTCCCTGACCCAAGAGATTGCCACTAGCTTGCCACCAATAGAAATCACTGAGGAGCTGCGACGATTCATCAGGAAAATGTATGGACAGTTTGATCTAGCCAAAGTGTTCACACTCTAACAAAGTCTTCCTGAAATCAAACAGCACAACCAAACTATCATGGTCTACTACAATCGGCTCTTAGCCATCTCGAATGAGCTCGACACCGTCACCATCATCGAGCCATTGTGAGGACCACTGAAAAGTCTGCAACAATTCCAACAGCTCAAAGAATAGGAGCGTTTGATCCACTTTCTTCTCAAATTGAATGAGAATTTTTTGCCTTCCCTTTCGCACACAAATGCTGGCGAAGACTTCACCGCTATCACTCTATCGTCTGTACCAGTTGGTTATACAAGATGAAAGCCAACATCTGGCATCCATGGAATCACCACGGTTGGGTGATTCCATCGCTTTTGTCGCCGAGAAAAGTGAGAGTAAAAAGGGAGAGCTACTGTAGCTAGGGTTCATAAATGAGAAAGAGAAAGAAGATTTTGTATACAAATGAGTGAATGGCTAGGATCACTCCAAGCAATCCAACGGCCAGCAATCAGTCAATCAGGTTAACGGAGTCAATGGGCAAGCTAGTTAACACTTTGGCAATCAACATTTTGGAAATTCATCCAATGGCTCATATTTTGGGAATTTTCAAAATGGATCTAATGGATCTGATGGCTCAGGATCATCTCGATCGAGTAAGAAGAGGTATTGTGATTACTATAAAAGGATAAATCACAATCGAGACACATGCTAGAAATTACATGGTCATTCTAAAAATGGTAATCTAACATCAAATTGTGTGAATGTCACCACATCCTCGGGATCTAAAGATCAACCACTCTTGTTCAAACCTAAACCAATCAATTAGCTCATCCAGATGTTGAATCAACTTTCAACAAAAACGCTTCCCCCAGTTATGCAGGTACATCTTTTTGTTTTAGTAATTCATTTTTTGTGATTTATGGATTATTGATTCAGGGGCTAGTGATCACATATTTTTTTACCCTAAATATTTCCAACCCCACACAATCCCCTCACAATTATCTATTAGGAAGCCCAATGCCAACATTGCTCCAACAACCCATACAGGGACAGTCCAACTCACTAAAGGCATAATGCTCATAATTGTCCTTTTGTCCCTACTTTAAACTTTGACCTTATATCTGTGTCAAAATTCTGCACTGATAATAACAGCACATTACAATTCCTTCCTAACCTCTGTATCTTTCAAGACTCTTCGACTGGCAAACAGATGGGCTTGGGTAAGGCCCATCATGGCCTATACTACTGGGAGCAATTTTCTATTTTTCCTAGAAATAAAGACAACTATTGTAATGCTAATATTAATAATAATTCCCTTATTTTTCATCAAAGGTTGGGTCACAGTGCATCTATTCCTCAATTAAATTGTCAAATATGTCCTATTGCCAAACAACCTACAATACATTTTTGGATTAATACATCCTCCACTAAAACACCCTCTGCCCTCATCCATCTTGATATCTGGGGCCAATATTTTGTTCCCAATCATGATGGATCCCTTTTTTTTCCTAACAATAGTGGATGATTTTTTCTACAAGACTTGGATCTTCCTCATATAGACAAAAACCCAAGCATTTACCCACATCCTACGCTTCCTATCCATGGTCCAAACACAATTCAACACACGAGTTCAAACTGACAATGCTTTAGATTTCTTCAACAAACAGTGTTTCTCCTTGTTCCTTTCCCATGGAATTTTCCACTAGAGTTCTTGTACTTATACTCCTGAACGAAATGGGATTGTTGAATGAAAACACCGTCACCTCTTAGAAGTAGCTCGAGCCCTCAAACACCAAGCCCAAATTTTGACCACCTTTTGGGGCGAATGTGTCCTTATTGCCACCTATCTCATTAATCGCATGCCTACACAGGTTATTGGAGGTAAAACTCCTTTTGAATTACTATTTGGAAAGAAACCTGATAACACTCACTTACAAGTGTTTGGTTGTTTGTGTTATTCCACCACTGTGGGTCCCTGTGACAAGTTTACGCCTCATGCCAGGAAATGCCTTTTCATGGGATATCTTATGCTCCAAAAAGGGTATTGTCTTTATGATTCCCAACATAACAAGTTTTTTGTTAGTAGAGATGTTGTTTTCCGTGAGGTTATTTTTCCCTACTCAGACAATGAGATTCCATCCTCTCCATCACCACCTGCACTGTTGGATCATCTATCGCTATCAGATATTCCCATTACCATGGTTCCCATTCCCATTGCTCAGCCCTATTCTAATCTTGCTGACACTCCACCAGTTGATCAGGATGTAAACTCTACTACTTCAGATGAACCTCTATAGTCTCCCAACACCACGGATCTGACCACTACAGATTCAACTCAAAATGATTCTCCACTTATGGATCTGGTTCATCCCATTCCCTTTATCAAATATTATTCCATTACAACGATCATTTAAAGTTTCACGACCACCTATATGGATAGCCGACTACATCTGTTCCACTGTGGAAGGTATTCCTTACCCCATATCTAATTATGTTAGTTTTGACAAATTAGCTCCTGGACACAGATCCTACATGAGCAACATTTTTACTGCTCAAGAACCACCACATTTTCTAATGCTATACAACATGCTTGTTGGCGTCAAGCCATGGAAGCAAAATTAAATGCCCCTATCAACAATCACACATAGGATCTTGTTTCACACCCCTCACATCGGAAACCTATTAGTTGTAAACGGGTCTAAAAAATCAAGCACCATGTTGACGACTCCATTGAGTGATACAAAGCTCGACTTGTTGCAAAAGGTTTCACCCAACGAGAAGGTTTTGATTATCAGGAAACCTTATCCCCTATAGCCAAACATGTCATTGTTCGTGCTTTCCTTTTTGTTGCTTTTCACCATGATTGGCACCTCCACCAGATGGAAGTTCATAATGCCTTCCTCCATGGAGATCTCGATAGGAAATTTATATGGATATTCCACCCAACCTTCGCAACCAGGGGGACAATCTCATATGTAGATTACTAAAGTCTTTGTATAGGCTAAAACAAGCATCATGATAGCAGAATGCAAAATTTACAGAGGCTCTCATAGTCATTGGATTCACTCAATCCAATCTTGATTACGCCTTATTCTCTAGACAAAAGGGTGAGTCCTTCCTCAG